CTTTTCAATTGATTTATCAGTACCTGCTACTGCCTACTCGATACTGAATATCAGATGGCCAATCAGAAAAGATAAGAATGAAGTAACTCTGACAGGCAATGAACCTACAAAGGATCTATTGATCAACAAATATTCTGAAGGAAATGCTTGTAGCTCTAGAAAGAATTCGTAAACAATTAGAGTCCACCACATCGGGTGTGAGGACAAATATTCACCCGTAACATTGCTTGGCGGTCGTGCTATAATCGTGAACATAAATATGTCTCTCTTATTTGTCAAACGTTTGAAGTAGTAAACGAGATTTTTCTGTGAAACTATTGATGTTCATAAAATTTTTCCGTCCGATATGACTCATGCATATCACATAGATGACTGTTTGTTGTTCTGTAGGTGTCTTTCAATGAATTTTTAAGTCGGTACATGATATCATTTTCGTTCATCAGTGAATGGTTTTATTTGTTTTTCCCTTTCGCTAGCTCCTTTGTTTTTTATCATCTCTTGTTATATCCTTTTCCATTTGTCTTTCCCTGATTTCCTTTCTCTCTTTTCTGTACAAGATTTCCGTCACACTGCTCTCATTGCGTCGGGTGTCTCTTCATTTAGGATTCCTGAATTTGCCTTCTAATATCACCGACATTTCTTCGATGGCTTCAGTGACATTTTTTTTTTAATTTGACACTTCAATTTGTAACTGTTGAACGTGTTGGTGTACATCTTCAGCTTCTTTGCAGTCTTTCACTTTGATGTTGAATATTCATCATACTAGGTAGTCATATGGACTTATAGCGGTAGCTATTCTTCATTTGTATGCAATTGAATGCATAGTAAGTTAGCATTGTTTCATCTATAGAGGTGAAGAATGAGGGTGCCAAAGGCAGGATCGACGAAACAAGACAGACCATCAATCCGAAGCAAGTCTGAGAATGTAATGGAGCATACATAAAGAACAAGGTATTCGCTTTCAACGCTGATTTCAAGTCAGTTCTTCTGTGATGTTCACAGACTTGGCTTGTATCCAGAGGCATCTCCAACAGACTTTAGACTCTCATCAACATCTGCTTGCTCTTGCTAGGTACTTAATATCAGATGGCCAGTCAGAACAGATAAGAATAAAGTAACTCTGACAGGCAATGAACCTACAAAGGATCTTTTGCTCAACAAATATTCCGAAATAAATGCATATATATCGGACACAATCTGAAAACACCATCGAGTAGCATCATGCACCAGGTTAATCACTCAAGTGGATCCGAACACGGAATGATGGGTTTAGTTTGTGTCCGAAGGTGACATGGAGAAGATCATGTAAGTTGGAGGAGATGAGACCTTATGGAAAATTGTGGTGCCAGGTAAAGAGGACTTCAGAGAACAGAATGAAATGGAGATGTGCTTTTGAAGTCCTATAATCCACTTGGATCCCATGGGATTACTAATAATAGACTACTTTTCCATTACTATTACTGCGTGGATAATACAGAATATTTTTTATTCCATTATCAAATGATTTACTTTTAATGAAGCACTTTATATTGTTTATAGATAACGTTAAACAGGTGTGAAAATGCTAGAAGGAAATTAATGGATATGTCAACAGAGATTCAGCATTTCAGTTCAAAGTAATTAGTCAAAAGGTAATGCAAATTAATTTGAACGGCAATAGCTGATAACCATAGCACAAGAGTTGCCTCTCAAGATAGAGTGGTCTAGGTAATAGTGCCGTGGAATCTAAAATGAGTATTGAATGTTTTGAGGCTCTGTGGGAACACTTTCACTCACTAGAAAACGCGTGAAGAATAAGCTTAGTCAACATTGATCATGCTTCTACATAACTTTGTCTACTTCAGCTTCTGCAGTTATATGTATCCATGATATTTAAAGAATTATTGTTACTTATGTCATCATTGTTTTTCAAAAAAGCATTGAACCGACAGTATCAGTATATTATAGTTGTAAAGTATCTGTGAGTGATAACATACTTTAAAATATAATACAAACTGAATCTAAGTTAAATTAAGCAATATATATATATATATATATATATATATATATAATCTTAATTCCGTCTTAAATTGAATCTGCTGGACAGTAGCTTTGACCCTATAGATGAGGGTCTTTTCCAAATTTCTTCTGTGTCGAAGAGGAAAAAAGCTATGAAAATCTGAATACTGACCTGCACAATTACTCTTCCTAGGCAAATTCATTTTCATGCTACGGTCTCATCATCTTGTCATTAGGACATCTAAAAACATAATTTTAATTGGGATTGTTCTTTACACGTGAATTTGGTAGCTGAATGTACTTTATTGAACTGAGATGTTATTGCGTTCCTGTCCAAATTATTTTCACAAAAAAGCAAGACATCCGTATACTGGCATTAAAATAACAATTTTCTGATAAGATTATTTCAAGGACCTTTTTCTTGCTTACTCAGAAAGAAAGTTCCTAACATGAGACCCAAAGGGGAGCGCGTCGTCCCCTTAACACCCATTTGTCTGTAGAGTTCACCGTCAAATTTAGGAATGTATATTCACTGTGCATTTTAGTAAAAATACTTTAGAGATTTCTATTGAAATTCAATTATTTACTGAATTCTTATTTATTCGTTCACATATGTAATTAACTGTTTCAATCACAGGTACATTTGTTAATAGAAATGTTACTTCAAAAGATAGCATAGTTTCATCCTTGATGTTAATATCTTTTATTTCCCTCTGTGAATTCAAATACATTTTTACACTATATTCCACTAGGTGTTCATTTAAGGCTTTTAGACTAGTTACCAACGGTTTATCTAAGGCATGCTAAGGTAAATTGTCCCTATTTAGAATCGGTTTTACCAGCGCTCCAAGTTTATGTATTATGGGTAAGCTGTATAATTTTAGTGTGTATGTGTCTGCGTGTCTGGATTCGTCGTACACACTTGAAGAAGCTATATTTTGTCCTTTAAGTTTCTGCAGAGATCTGGTTATTTCTTTTCTTACATGTTATTACTGACAGTATTATCCGAATTGTTTCTAAATTGCGGAAATGTCTATTTGACTGAAAAATGAATTCACTCGGAAATGCAAATACACTTTAATCACAACATATGTGTCACATTTCCTCAGAATAAATTATGTCAAAAATTACAGTTTAACTCTTCACTCTCATTGTCTAGATTGTAAACAATTGACAGTATACCGATAAAATGAAACACATTGGTTTCATCCGACTCAAGTCGTTACTGTTATTGTATTATACATTTTATGGTTCCCTTGGGTTCCAAGTGGAATATAGGACTTCAAAAGCACATCTCCATTTCATTCTGTTCTCTGAAGTCCTCTTTACCTGGCACCACAATTTTCCATAAGGTCTCATCTCCTCCAACTTACATGATCTTCTCCATGTCACCTTCGGACACAAACTAAACCCATCATTCCGTGTTCGGATCCACTTGAGTGATTAACCTGGTGCATGATGCTACTCGATGGTGTTTTCAGATTGTGTCCGATATATATGCATTTATTTCGGAATATTTGTTGAGCAAAAGATCCTTTGTAGGTTCATTGCCTGTCAGAGTTACTTTATTCTTATCTGTTCTGACTGGCCATCTGATATTAAGTACCTAGCAAGAGCAAGCAGATGTTGATGAGAGTCTAAAGTCTGTTGGAGATGCCTCTGGATACAAGCCAAGTCTGTGAACATCACAGAAGAACTGACTTGAAATCAGCGTTGAAAGCGAATACCTTGTTCTTTACGTATGCTCCATTACATTCTCAGACTTGCTTCGGATTGATGGTCTGTCTTGTTTCGTCGATCCTGCCTTTGGCACCCTCATTCTTCACCTCTATAGATGAAACAATGCTACCTTACTATGTCAAAGTAATAATCTCCCTCAAATATCACCCTTTGATGGTGAATGATGGTCTTGGATTTTATTATTGCTGATCGTCAGGTATCTTCATTTCTTGTAACTTTGCTAAATGAAATCAATGGAAATTTTTTACGGAGGAGTTCATACAATTAAACGTTTTCCATAAATACGGATAGAATTAGAACACCGTGGTGAATCTTAGTCCCATCACGGAATAATTCAATTTGGTAGAAACGTAGTGATACATTATTACCGACTGAGTTTGTTCCGAGCACAATTTATTACTGCTCATAATCATATCAAGGTACTTATACAACTTCCCAACTATGTGTATGTAACCCCATTATTTATTGTTATATGATTTAACGACGATGCGTCATTCCTTTTGTAAGTGTTTGCTGTAGACTCATTAAGTAACCGCTCTTCTCATCTGCCTATTTTACTCTACATATCTGTTACTCTGCTCCACTAACTCACGGATAATTTCTGTTGGCTAAACGATCCTATTCATCCAATGGAACAAAATAATTTAACCTAAAAGTACCTTACAATGGCTATCGGGTCAACAATATAGGCGAAACAGTCAATTTATAGGTATGTTGGAATCTAGTTAATTGTTTAGTGATGAACGGCTTATAAGGAAATTCAGAAATTGCAATGCATGCAGTAATACACAATTATATAGCGGGGTGTGACAGAGTTATATCTTTTAAAAAGGGATTTAAGTGGGTGGAATCAAACCTAGACCTTATGCATGCAATAGGAATGACGCTACACAGATACCAGGGATATGGGAAATATTATCACCAATGAAATCAAAAGGAAAGAAACAACTGGATTGTGTACTCAAAGTTGGAAAGTTAGATGAGTGTACTGAAATGATGATAATGAGCAGCAATAAAATGTGGTCGATACATCAATAGATAATAGTGTGAACGAAATATTCCCATATTGGGTCATAAATAAAAGACCTAAAGAACGAAGAAAATTTTCTTTTTGACAATTCATTTTCATAAGCTTTTTTTATTCCTTTACGTTGTCACTAAAACATAGGGCTTCATTCCAGAAGCTTGAAGTTTCAGTAGCAGTGGTGTTAATTTTTACGAGATGGGGTTGCTAGCCTTACGCCAAACCTCCCCTAACTATCAGTTCCTAAAGGATTTCTAGATACCTATGCCTATCTTGACAATGGTTCAGATGCTACACTACTGCTGAGTCATGTTGCCCGCCAAATAGGACTGGAAGGGGTTAATACATTGATGCAGGTAACATCTTTCTGTGGAACTACTTCTCAGAATTCATCTAAGGTTGATTTCGAAGTTGAATCCTTAACAGGAGATTACAAGACGAGGGTCAAGAGTGCCTACACCGTGGAAAGCTTACCTGTAAAGAGACCTAGGACTCCTTCGAACGAACAGATGAAAAAATGGCCTTACCTGGCAGAAATTCCCTTTCTAGACGTCGAATGTAAACAGGTCAGTCTACTAATTGGGACTAATGTACCTGAAGCACACTGGGTGCTGGAGCAGCGTATAGGGAAATCCAACCAACCGTTTGCATCTTTGTCAGTTTTTGGTTGGTATTTATTGGGTTCAGGAAACGAATATAAAGAAGCAACCTCTATCTTCTGCTTAGAGGAAAGTGAATCAGTAGAGAACAAGCCTTTGCGAATGATTGAAGCTGAATTTCAGGACAAGCACTCATGCGAAAGGTCCAGTTCTGAAATAGATAAAGAGGTTCTGAATGCAACCGATAGGGAGATAAGATTGCGGAACGGACATTATGAAGTTCCATTGACTTGGAAAGAGGACTGGCGTAGATTACCGCCTAATAGGTTTGAGGCAGAACGCAGGCTGGACAGTCTTCGGAAGAAACTAAAAAAGGACGAAAGCCTATTAAAGTCCTACAATCAAATACTAACAGACCATGAGTTGAAGGGTTATATTAGTCGCGTTCCTGACGACTTCTCCAAGAAACGTAGAGTTATCCCTCACCACCCAGTTATAAATCCCCACAAGCCTGGTAAAATTAGAGTGGTTTTCGATTGTGCCTTTAAATGTAAGGGAATATCCTTGAACGATTGTCTGTATTCGGGACCTGATCTGATGAATGACTTGGCTGGGGTACTATTGAGATTTAGAAAACATCGGATAGCCTTGTCAGCAGATATTAAGGAGATGTTTCTTCAGGTTCACTTACCTGTCAAGGATAAAAGTGCCTTTAGTTTCTTATGGTATTCTGAGGGTACACTGGACTTACCACCGAGCCTGTATGAATTAAACGTACATCCCTTCGGTGCTACCTCATCACCTTTTTGTGCAGCCTATGCTTTAAAACGAGGTGCAAGACGATGGAAACAAGGGCAACTCCTTGCTGATACGTTTTGGAGACGGTGGAAGCGGGAGTACCTGACGACCTTACAATCGCATTCGACGACATCGAAACTTACAAGTGGGAGACCTAGTACTAGTGGCTGCAGAGCCTTCACCTCTCAATCGTTGGTCAATGGGAATAATTACAGGTGTTACGGCAAGCTGTGATGGGTATATCAGAAAAGTGGATATCAAGACACCGAGGGGTATAGTCAACCAAGATGGGCGTAAGGTTTGCCTATTAGAAGGTATTAAGGAGAGATAAGCACTTTGTAGGATATATAGCTGGATAGTGCATGCAGATGTGGCGAGAGTAAATTGTACCATTTCTGTGTCATACTAGCAGGTAGAGTAGGGAAAACCAGGCTGGTTTTGAGGGGGCGGTGTTAATTCCTTTCCTATCTGTTCATTCTCAATCTTTTCTTTGTTCAGCATTATACTACTTGTCATTAGTACGAAGTATGATTTTTATATGTTAATTTATTACAATGACATTTGTTTACAACTGAGGTTAAATTACTTGTTCTATTATCATTCTATTAATGTATAGTTCTTATTTTTCTTCTGCTTAAACATTACTTGTTGCATTTACCCTATAGTGTATGCTTTACTATTGAAAGTTGTTTGTTCATATTTGTTTATTCTTTGCTTGGCATTCGCGGGCCGTTTGAACCGACACGTGGATCGACCATGACACAGCATTCCTTTTTTTACTTATTGACTGCACAGTGGTTGTGCATTTGACGGCATTTAGCCACTGACACCTCACATTTTGAGGTTTGTATATTATATATCTATTTTTATGTAATAAAGTACCGTATTGCAGAATATCCTGTAATTTGGACTTTACGCGTCACTCTACGTGTGGTTAAATCTGTACCATTGAACTTTTTTTTAAACTGATTCACCCACGGTGATCCACGTTTTATCTTTTGAGTTGTGAGTCTTCCGTACGTTCATTGGTTCGCTCTCTTGTTGTGCTCTCTTTCTGCACACTCTCCGAGCCTACCTCCAGTAACGTCTGCAGCTAAGTTGTACAGTCACTTTATTTATTAAATCTGTTATTTAGTTACGTTAAATACAACTCATACTAAGAATTCTTTCCATTGTTAGCTTTTAAACTTTGATTGAGTTAATCAGTACTTACACGTTAGGTAGAGTACTAGTAAAGTCATAAGACGGTGAAGTTTTTAGTAAGTGTGGTGATATCGAAGACTATCTTAAGTCTAACCTCAACACTTACAAGTGGTGAGCCCGTTTTCACCGTTTTCCGCCAGAGTAGCTTAACGTGTTAACAATTCTTTTTACGTACCGTTTTTTATGTTATTTTTTTTTTTTTCACGCACGGTTATAAAGATTTGATTTGTTTTCTTTGTACTTATATTGTTTTTTTTATCACCTTGTTAATATTGTGTCCTGTGTGCAAGATGGCTGACAACGGTTCTGCGTCAGAGATGGCTATAACGCTGCAACTCCCCGCCTTCTGGACACATCGTCCAGCTGCATGGTTTAATCATATAGAGGCTCAGTTTGCCATTAGACACATACACTCACAAGAGACCAAAGTAAACCACGTGATTGTGAGCCTACCCGAAAGTGTCATAGACGAGGTGGCTGACGTTCTCGCAGATCCGTCTCCGGATCGGTACGAGCGGCTCAAACAGGCGTTAATTCAACGAGTCGCACTTACTGACCAACAGAAAGTGCAGGAACTTTTCCGTGATGTTCAGTTAGGTGACCGCAAGCCCTCACAAATGTTGAGGCAGATGAAGCAGCTGGTGGCGGACTTTAAAATTGACGAGGTTTTTCTCAAACAACTTTGGCTTCAAAGATTACCTCAGGCAGTCCAGGGTATCTTAGCACCGATCTACAAGTACCCCTTACAGGAGATAGCCGAGGCAGCTGATAGAGCCGTAGAGGCCATCAATCCCAAAATTGGCATTTCCGCAACAGTAACTGCTGCTCCCGCTCAGACTAAAGATTCGTCTGACGGGGGGTCATCAAGCTTTGACGCGGTGGCCCATATAGCCAAGCTATACGAGGAGATCTGTAGTATACGACAGGAGATGAACTCCAGGAGTCGTACACGCAGTCCCTCGAGTTCGCGTAGTAGTAGACCCTTGCACGTGCTGGCAGCAAGCGCCGACAGTCCCGAAGTAACCAGCCTGGAGTGTGCTGGTATCATCGACGTTACGGAGCAAAAGCCCAAAAGTGCACTCGCCCGTGCACCTTCGATGTTCAACAATCGGGAAACTAGCAAGCCAGCACGTACTGGCGACTAACGTCGCTGGCGAACCACTCTCATGTCGCCTCTTCTATGTTACCGACCGTAACACTGGGATACGCTTCCTAATTGATACCGGAGCAGAGGTCAGTGTAATCCCACCCACAGTAGAGGAGCGCAGGCGGCCAATGTCTCTTCAACTACGAGCCGCAAACGGTTCGCCAATTGCTACGTTCGGCAGGCGCTTTATAGATCTTAACATCGGTTTGCGTCGTTCACTTCGTTGGGTCTTCCTGGTGGCAGACGTTACCACAGGTATAATTGGCATGGATCTATTGCAGCACTACCAATTACTGGTAGATACAGGTAATCATAAGTTAAGAGATCCTGTCACAAACCTCTCCGTCAGCGGTATCGTCACACAAGGCCCAGCCCTCAGCCCTGTATATGCCACACCCACTAGCACTGGTCCTTATTCGCATATACTGCAGTCTTTTTCAGATTTGTTCAAACCTAGCAGCGGCCTGCCATGTGCGACTTCCAACGTCAAACACCATATTGTCACTACTGGCCCGCCAGTTTTCGCAAAGCCGAGGCGACTATCCCCAGAAAAACTAAAGGTTGTCAAAGCGGAGTTTGAGCATATGCTAGAAATGGGGATTATTAGGCCATCCAGCAGCCCGTGGTCCTCACCGTTGCACCTGGTACCTAAGAATAACGGTTTAGATTGGCGTCCTTGTGGCGACTACCGCAGACTAAACGCACAAACTGTTCCCGATCGCTACCCTGTCCCTCACATACACGATTTAACCGCCTCACTCAAGGGAGCTCGAGTATTCAGCAAACTGGACCTTACACGGGCTTACTACCAGATTCCCGTCGACCCCGAGGATATACCTAAGACTGCTGTGATTACACCGTTTGGCCTGTTCGAGTTTCTTCGAATGCCTTTTGGCTTACGGAACGCTGCCCAAACCTTCCAGCGTTTTATACATGACGTTTTGCGCGGGCTTGATTTCGCCTTCGCCTATCTGGACGATATCTTGGTAGCTAGTCCAGATGAAGCCACTCATCAACTTCATTTGCAGACAGTTTTCCGAAGACTTGTGACACACTCCCTCACACTCAACTTGCCGAAGTGTCAGATTGGAGTCACTTCCCTGAAATTTTTGGGACATAGGATAGACAAAGATGGAATTTATCCGTTACCTGACCGGGTAGAAGCTATTCAAAACTTCCCTCTACCCACTTCTCCCAAGGCACTACGCACTTTTCTCGGGATGGTTAGTTACTACCGTCGCTTTATCCCACAGTGTGCTCATATCGTGACCCCCTTGACTGATATGCTTAAAGGGAAATGCAAGTCTTTGGTGTTCACTAAGGAAGCCTCGACAGCTTTTGCAGCTATCAAGAAAGCTATTGCTGACGCCACAATGTTGGTCCATCTAGATGTTCAACTTCCAATCAGCATCTCCGTAGATGCCTCTAATACTGCGATCGGAGCCGTCCTACAACAGCGTATGGCTAATGTATGGCTACCGATTGCTTTCTTTTCACGTAAACTTACCGCATGCGAATCTCGATACAGCACATTCGGTAGGGAACTTCTCGCTGTCTATGCTGCTGTCAAGCATTTTCGTCACTTCGTGGAAGGCCGGCAATTTACGGTATTTACCGACCATAAGCCATTGACGTACGCCCTCCACACTACTTCAGACCGGTATTCACCGCGAGAATCACGCCATTTAGACTATATTTCCCAGTTCACTTCTGATATCCAGCACGTTTCTGGATCGGATAACGCGGTAGCAGACGCTTTGTCTCGCGTATGTGCTACGTCCGTACCACCAACCATCGATCTTCATAAAATGGCCGAACTCCAACTGAACGATTTGAACTTAGAACACCTGTCAAATAAAACCTCACTGAAGATAGAACGCGTCCCCTTGCTAAACAGTGAGGCAACTATACTTTGCGATATGTCAACTGGTACTCCTCGACCGATTGTTCCCACGTCTTTACGCCGAACTGTGTTTGAGTCACTCCACAACCTCTCCCATCCTGGCATACGAGCAACGGACAAGTTGATTTCTGCGAGATTTGCGTGGCCCGGTATGAACCGTGATGTGCGTCAATGGACACGTGCTTGTGTGCAATGCCAACGTGCTAAAGTCACCAAGCATAACATCACGCCGTTGGGGACGTTTGCGACCCCAGACGCTCGGTTCCATCATATCCACCTGGATATAGTAGGGCCTCTGCCCCCGTCTAACGGCTGCTCGTATTTACTCACATGTGTGGATCGTTTCACACGTTGGCCGGAAGCCATTCCGATACCAGATGTAACGGCTCAAACCGTCTGTCGTGCCTTCATGGATGGCTGGGTTGCCCATTTTGGATGTCCCGCAACTGTCACTACCGACCGCGGACAACAATTCGAATCCACAAGCTTCAAAGAATTGTTAGAGATGCTGGGATGCAAACGCATTCGCACAACCGCGTATCATCCCGCGGCAAATGGCCTAGTAGAACGTTTCCACCGTCAACTCAAAGCTGCGTTGATGGCAGTGGACAACAGTAAGTGGACAGATTCGCTACCACTGGTCCTGCTTAGCATCCGGGCTACGCTTAAGGGGGATCTGCAGTGCTCGCCAGCTGAATTGGTGTACGGTACCACCATGCGTTTACCAGGCGAGCTAATCGCTCCCGAAACTTTCGAGCCAAATTTCCCGATACCACCCGTTACGCTCAGCAACTTAAAAGTTTTATGCAGCGACTCCGACCAGTTTCCACACGCACTCAGAACCGAAAGGTTCAGGTTGATCGGCGACTTGATGACTGTACACACGTTTTCGTGCGTCACGACGCCATACGAAAGCCATTACAACCACCGTATGACGGGCCTTTTAAGGTCCTTAGTCGTAAAGATAAATTTTTCGTTATTGACCGATGCGGCCGCCCAGACACTGTCAGCATAGACAGACTTAAAGCGGCATACACTGAAGAACCTTCACCCTCCCCATCGGCTCAATCAAATAGCCCCACTGAACCT